CCTCCACAACTAGACTGAAGAACAAAAGGACAGCAACTTGTCTGTTCCCCTTCCCCCAATTCCCCAATAAAAAAAAAATCTTAAAAAAAAAAAATACTAGCTGAGATTTTGCAAAAACTAACAAGCTGATCCCAAAACTTATACGGAAAGGTACAGGACGCAGAATAGCCAAAACAATCTTTACAAAGAAGAATGAAGTTGGAGGGACTACACTTCCCAATTTTATAAAGAGCAGTTGAAGAGTTAGGAAAACCAGAAATATGTAGGGTTATGATCACTGAGAATATTCCTGTCTAGTCCCTGCTTTCAGGAAGCCAAATTTCTCAGAAGAATAGTCTGTCTCAGCTGCCTATCATCCACTCAGTGTTTTTCTCTGTGAACTGGAAAATTTCTGTTTAACTTTTCTTTGTATGATTTAACCAATAAGCAAGCATGCTGAATGTTATAAACACTAGCACTGTGTTTCCTTATATGATATAAACCTGTACCACGGTTTTTACAGTTCTGGGGCCATTAGAACCGAAGTCTAGGAAGGAAAGTTGCAGTTTTATAACCATCAAACTTAATGAGCTGAAAAGTTTAGATAGATGAAAATGTAGGAGAGATTATGGAAGTTGAGTATGCTGATATTTTTTCTCCCAGAGTCTTTATTTTCTTCCATCCTCTGAGATAAATTATCTCTTCTTTTTTTGAACTCCCGAAGTACTTTGTGTACTTCTTAATCTCCCCCTTCTAGAGTGTAAACTTGAAGACCAGGACTCTCTTTATCGTTTCTCTATGTTTCTCTATAATGTTTACCATAAAAATTGATATTCAAGAAATGTTATTTGAATTAGTCAAGTTTATTAATTTATTCTAATAAACATGCCAAGTACATTGTAAGTACTTGACAGAAATGTTAAATATCAGTGCCTTTTCCTCTTTACCCTACTCCAAACTCCTAAGCTGCTCACAGGTTAATAGAAAGACTGAGAAACAATGTTGTTAAGTGCTATATGTTTGGAATAAATTATAAAGAAGCTGGACTGGGGAGTGCCTAGCTCTCAAGATAAGAGATGATTCCCAAATCTGACTTGGGTGAACTTGAAGAATGGTAAATCCATCAGAGCAGGAGGAACACATGTGGGAATAGAAATGGGGAAAGTAAATATGTTCAAGCTTTGAGTTTGTTGCATGTATTACATCTTATTCAAATACACACATACACATGTTCATTTAAATTAAATATTTTATTACATAATCATCGTTTTCTAGGCAGGAGTGAGATCACTAAGGGAAACTCAACAGAGTGAGAAGTAAACAAGGGTGGCACCATGGGGGCCCAAAATATCTAAGGAATGGGTGATTGGTAAGGAGTCTGGAAGATTCAGTATAGGAGTGGCGAGGGAGACAGGATAAGAACCAGAACTAGATATCCTAGAAACTAACAGGGGGAAACATTTCCAAACAAGGAGGAGTATCTGAGATACTAAGTAAGGTACATAATTAGAAGAAGCCATTGATTTTGACAGTTAGAAGGTCATTAGTGATAGAAGTTTTATTTTCTTTCCTAGGATGGTGGTGGTAGTAGTTCTTGTTTTTCCATTTTAACAGGCACAAGGATATTAAGACAAAGGAACAAATCCAAATTAACTATGGAACATCAGTATGCAAAGCATATTATGTTAGGCTAATACATTTAGCCTAAACTAATGCCCTCCAAATCATTACAAAGGTTGCCTGATAGAAGGCCAACTTTACAGAGTAATAGGAATAAAACCAGGGCTATTCTTACGTATTATCAGAGTCACAGGCTGTAAGAACAGACAATTGCTTCTTGCTAGGCCTTTATTATTTCTAGGGTGCTACTCATTTGCAAATTCCAGGAGGTTGCAGAGGAGGGATACGTTGTGGGGGGCTGGGGATTGATAATATTGTATGTTCTTAGAGTATTTTTTCTGTCTTGACTATGGTAGAATGAACACATTTTTAATAATATGTAGTTCTAATACTCAGGAGTACTTAATATTTTTTTGTTTTTAATTCTCCTTCAACCTTGATATGACTTGCAGCATTCTGGAATTTGCTTATGAACCTCATAAGTTCAAACTTGAACTATTCCCTTAGTTCACATAGCTATTTAGTTGTCTTTTATGCCTCCTGATAAATTTTTCTCTACAAGCCAGTGATGAAATTTGAACTTTACTTCCAAGGGAGTGTTTCTGTACTAGTCATCCATTATATTGATGCATTTGCTAAACATTGACTGACAAATTAATCTACAGAAAGCAATCCAAAAATAAATAATTAGGTCTCTCCTACAGTATAAAAATCGCATATTTTAGAAGTATCTTACTAAAGCTATATAGTTTTCTGCCTTATAAAGTGAGGATGATACTGTCTATGTCTTAGGGTTGTTGAAAAAAATCAAACAAACTAATATGAATTAAAGTACTTTGTAAACCATAAAATGCTGTACAGTTTAATTAATATTAATTTTGCAGTACCTCACATGATAACAATTATAATAACCATTGATATATGTAAGTATTTGTTCCCTGTCTTTACAAATACCGTGGTTTGTTTCTCTTGGTTTACTGGAAGAAGTTGGCCTCTCATGGCTGAGGGATGGGGCAAAAGGGAATGCTGTTCTTTGGGGTGCTGAAATCACAATGTTGTCCACAGCTTCTAATGTTTCTAACTTTAAAAAAATTCAGATTTGGTGTGCTTTTACTTTAAACATGAGTCAAGGCTCTGGAAATTTTCTGGATTTTTTAATGAGTTTGGTTTTTGGTATATACTTTCTGAAAATAGTACAAGACATAAAAATATTATGGCTACTGAAGGAAACTTAGGTGTAATATTCTCTATGAATCATTATGTTTAAAGAACTGAAATTTATAGCTAACCTTGATTCAGCACTGAATTAATCATCCCTTACTTATGTGGGATATTACATCAGGAATTCCTGGGTTTGGGTTCAGCTCTGAGCAGTCAACTTCCTGGACTAATGAAGTGCCTAGAATAGCTCTCAATTTAACAGACATTTATTGAGCACCTACTGTGTGCCAAGCATTGTGATAGGCTCATCCCAGCATTCTTATCCAAGTATTTTCAAGTTTCAAATAAGATATAAATATTTGAATACTATTGGTAATGAAATACCCAATTATTAGAAAAATAATACCTGAGTAAATGTATGAATGTGGTAAAATAAGACAAGGGACTTCACTTATGTTCAGAATCCTAGGGCTTTGGTGTTCTAGTTTGATTTTTATGCTGCTTGATGAAATGCCACATATAGAATAACTGGGTAAAATTATTAACTGATGGTTCTGGGCAATCTCCAATCACATGTCTGTCTCTTGATCTCTATACTCATCTCTGAGCTCCCAAAGAGCAAGAATTATAACAACTCACATTTATTAAGGGCTTACAATGTTCATCATAACAACTCCATAGCAACTAATAGAGGTTTAGCAACTTATTCAAGATCACACAGCTAGTAAGTGACAAAGCTCTTTTTTCAAAACCACCTCAGCATGACTTTACAATCAATGTGCTTTCCCACGAAGCCATCCTGTTCCCCAGGACCCCGCACAGTCGTCTGGCTCTATAGATATGCTGTCGATGCTGGAACAAATAATGGATAACTTTCTTCTACCTTGCTTAGCCAGAGACTTCTTGTTATTTTTTAATATGATTTTCCTGTTTTAGTTTCTAAAAACAGATTTTACTTGAAAATATTAAAACTGGCTTAGACTGCATTCTGCAATAAAATCCATTTCTACTTTTTCTCCCTTGCAGCCTTTCATCATGTTTCTGTTTACCCAAAGAAGGAGCTTCCTTTTTTCATCCATTTCACAGCAGGACTGTGTTCTTCCACAGCAATGATAGCTCTTCTCACACACCAGTTTCCTGAAATCATGGGTGTTTTTGCTAAAGCTGTAAGTATGATCTCAAGGACTTGTGTAGAGTATATATAAAACACACAAGAAACCATCTCTGACACGTTTGTGCTAAACTAGTTGAGCAGCGGGAGATACTTGTTATAGTCAATTACAGGAATTGCTTTGTAAAGTTGCTGCCATAAATATGTCAAACAGAAGGTTTTGGTGACTTGAGCTATATTTTTGTTGCGTAAAAGTTTGAAGAATACAATGGCATAACATTATAAAGCTGGTCTTTGTAGATCACTTTTGGTGGTAAACATAGCACTTATTACTAGCTAAAGAATAATCCAGTTCTTTTAAATGCGTTTTCTTTGGCATTAAATAACAAAATTCCCTATTTTGTAAACAAGCCTTTTGATTTTTTCACTTAAATGAAATCATTAATTCTGAGGATTTGCTGAACTTTCAATTCAAGAATGCAACTAGGATGGAGAATAAGTAGGTAAGATGGAGCAGATAGGACGTTTGCTCTGGGTACAGTATATGCCCCTTTACTCAAGGTTCTCGCAGTTGCTATATCTGCATGTTCCTATTGACCTTGGGTCTAGAACCACATTTATACCTTTATTTCCATTTTTACCCTTTAGTTTTGAACTGCTTCTGTATTTCCTGACCCAGATCCAGGAAATACTTCGTAGAGAGGGTATCCCATGATTATTTACTCTTCTATATAAACTTATAATGTCATTGGCTCAAAGTAAAATTACCAAAGATAAGTCCCTTAAGTGTCCAAGCCTTTTTAAAAATGTGTCTTTCTTGTACATCTTCGCATTTTTACCAGGTAATAAGAGTTTAAGCCCAAAAAGAAAATGCTGATTTATTATATTCCTAAATAGAAGGGTACTGAGAAATGTAGAAACACTAGTCCTTACTTGGTAATGTAATTTCTGTAATTTTCTCTAAAATGCCTCCATTCTAACTCAGTTTCCTCACAACTTTTTTTCCTGCCTTAAGAATAGTTTATTTTGCGCCTCAAAGATTAGCTGGTTTTCTTCTGGCACCAGTAGGAAGAGCACTGGTTTCCCTTTCTCCCTGAAGGTCAACTGTATAATGTGTTAAGTTGCCCCTGGCTGTAGGCCTCAGAGTCTGAGACCACACTTGATTTGGGGTCAAGCTTCAAGAATGACTTTTCACTATTGTTCAGGGAGTATAGGTATTTGGGTTGGAAACTGACTATCCTATTTTCTTTTAGTGTAAAAGAGAAACTTAGAGATCATGCCATCATGCTTTTGGTTGCAGTGGTGCTGATTGAGGAGTGAGTGCATCTCAAACTGAAAATGACCTTACTGTGTCATTTTGCATGGAAAAAAAATGGTCTAGAAAGGGAATTCCATCCATTTAACAACTGGAAAAAATATGCAGCTGTGTGTTGCGATTACAGGCAAGCAGTGAAAGAGGTAGTCCTTGGTTTTCTCTCAGGGCAGCTGGAAGGAGGTAAAATAGTGCAAGGAGGGAGCTCTAAAAGCCCAGAGCAGATGTGTCGCAGTGGTTGGTAGTGTACTTCCATGAGGTGCTGGCTAACGTCCCTGTGGAGGGCACTCCCCGTCCGCTCTGTTCTTTGGTTTTAGTGTATAGTGTCTGCCTTTACCCCAGAGGTCACTGATGCACCAGAGGAGCCTTTAAGATTCCACAGCACAAGCTCCTGAGCACTCCTTTAGCAGAGTCTGAGAATAAATCATTAGACATTTTCAAATGGAAGCTTCTTTTTTAGATCAAAAGTTATTAATTTACTGTGATAAACAAATAAACAGGTATTTATTTACTCTTTTTTGGTATTTGTATAGTTGGTGGTATATAGTGTTAAAAATATGCCTGACAGCAAACTTTTACAGCCAATTCCTGTGGCTTTTACATGTACATTTGAAGTTCCTAAAAGCTGAATATTTACTGAAAGTATCTGCAAACCAATATTTGGTATACAGCAGTTCCGAGGGCAGGTTCCATTTAAGGATTAATGGAAATCAATTGTGGTGTGGGCAGCCTCCAGCTTATAAATATAATGTGTAAATGCCTCAACAGCCAGCCAGCCAGGGAACAAGAGGTTCAAATCCTATTCCTCAACACTTAATAAAGTGTGGTCTATACACTAAGAGCATCACCATTGGGGACCCAGGAGCTTGTTAGAATTGCAGAACTTCAGGCACCACTCCAGACCTCGTGAATCTGCATTTTAACAAGATCCCCAGGCAACCTACATGCCGGTTAAAACTTGAGAAGCCCTGCTCTGCCCTTGCTCTGCCCTGCCCCCCAGAAGAGGAATTCGAATGCCTGGCTAGGGCCATCTTATCAAGGCAGAGAAGGGGCAGCATTGCTGAGTGGGAATGAGCATACGCTCTGGAGCCAGGCTGCTCTGCTTTGAATTCCAGCCCTGACACTTATTGGCTGTGCAACCTCGGCTATGTTACTTAACCTTTTCTCCCCCTCACTGTAAAATGAGAATAGCACTACCTCATAGGTTTCTGTGAGGGTTAAATGAGTTTAAAATATGTCAGGCGTTTAGAGCCGCGTCTGCCCATACTAAAAACAAGTGGAGTGTTAGCTGTCGGTGCCACCGTCGTGGCCATCGTCACCACCAAAGTGCAGCTACCGTGGGAAACCCTGCCCCCTTCGTGTTTGGGGGAACTATGTCCTAATAGGAAACTCACCATGAATTTCCCATAGAAATTGTAGTATAAATGGTGGTTGGTGTCATTGAAACGGTATTATTAGTATTGTACTATCCTCCTGGAACAGTATGTGTATGTGGACCACAGAAAGTGGGGAAATGTTTCAAATTCTGGGCACTGGCAAACTGCCTTGTACCACAGAACCTATTGGTAAGTTTTCAAACTGCCTATGTTAGGATTTTCAATGAAGTCAGATATTAGATGGCCAAACACAGTAAAAATCAATGAAAAATTTTCTTTGAACTGTACTTGTTCTTCTGCTTAGTGAGGCAGAGCTCTTTAAGAAAATTTCTTCCATTGTTACCATTGTCTCTTCCTCATCTAATATCTTTACATATTAGCTCATATGGTAGAGTAAGTTCAATTTGAATTTATAAGAATGCATTTGTTAACAAACATTGCTTTTTGTGGAGCAGGGCAGTAGGGATTAATGGTTTTTAATAACCCTCACTGTACATCAGATTTTGATAAATGGAAGGGAATGAACTAGAATGGTTAATGGTTTCTTCTTTTATGTGGTATAAAGCTATGTGGAATAAGACTTCATTTTCAGCAAGTTAGGACTTTTCTCCTGGCTGAGATTAGAACTTAGTCTGACATTAGACATAGAGCAATGAAAAAAAAATTACATAAATCCCTGGAGATGTGGAATGTGCTGATATTAGAGCTGATATCCTCCAAGGCCAGAATTCCTGAAAAAGGAAAATTTGCTTTTAAGTGGTAGGTCATTTTCTCACCTGCTTTGATGCCTGCTGGGTTAAATATGAGAGTTCAAAATAAGGGTAGCCAGCAAGCCAAATGAACTGGAATCTGATTCTGCTTATCTGAAAGGAGCTTCTTTATTTAAGAGCAACACTGCCCTCTCCTTAGAGAACCAATCTTCATCTGTTCTGGCCCCTTTCATTTCTCTCTCGCAAGAAAAGCTTTCTTCTTAGTAAGCCTTGGGAGGGCGTTATCACTACAGTGAAAAGACTAGTGTTGGTCTTTGGGGATTTCACGAACTTACTGATGAATTCAAGCTTGCAGCATATGACTTTAGTGCTCTGAATTCAGAAGTGGGTTTGAATATAAAAACCCCTAGTTGGGCTTTTAACTAAACAGGGCAGCCTTTGCCGCGTTGGCAGAAGAGATGTTATCAAAAAGATTCCCAAATAAATTGCTTGTTTCACTAAGGCCAAACTGTGGAAATTTGTTTCACAAATTTTGTAGCCGTGCTGGGGTGGGAATGGGCCCTGTTTCCACATACTTCTACTAATCTTCATGTGGGAAAATGTGATTGGTTGGACATGCCAGTGATGAATTTCTGAGCATCTCATAATTGGCTGGCTCCACCGTAACTAGGGCGTACAGCCTGCCTGATTAATTCTGTAAGGACATTAGCCAGGTTGCATGATTTCCAAAGATATAGAAGGTCAAATGTTACACTAACGAAAGACCTCTCTACAGAATGTCTCACTGGGGTTTCTTCAGCCCCTGCCCAAAAATAATTACCATTTTTTCCCCCAAATTGCATTTTAAAAAATAATAAGCATATATAAATGCCAAATGTCTTTTACTGAATAGTGATCAAAATTTTTGAGAAGGTTTGTCCACTATTCTCATCTTTTTTTTCCAGGGCAAAGATCGTCTTCATATTGAGGAGAGTTGATAGAAAATTATAACTATATATTGGTATAGAGCAGTAGAAAAAAATAAATATTAGTTTTAAAGGTTCCTAATTTTTCATTGTCATAACCAGTGATGTGAAATCTGTCCATAGGTGAAACATTTTTTATATTCTTCATATGACTTCATTTATTAATACTAAAAACCTATGAGAGTTATATTTCTCTTTATTAAATACATAGGGCTACATGCAGAAATTAAACTGACAATAAAATAAGTTTCTTCACTTTGTTTGAAAATGGATTATTTTTCAAAGCTGTGAGACTTCTTTAGTTCATAAAAACTGATATAGTTTTTCAAATACCTTGAATTGTAACTAAGCTTATATTTCTGTAACATATTGTTCTATAACCATGCTCTTTCCACAGCAATATATCCGAGGTATTTCCCATAGACTGTCCTGATAATAAAAGGAGCCTATTTGTGACAGGCCAAACTTTTCAAATGTTTACCTTTTGGTTCTGTTGTTAGTGCCGCTGAAGTCTTTACTGGGGCAGTCTGGCATATTCCATCTTTGATTTTATTTGTTAACTGAGATATTTGTAGCAAGAGAAAAAATGTTCTCTACTTTGTATAAGGGTATTTCTCATGCTTCATCCTCATTGTTCTCCTTCAAAAAGAACCAGACTGAGAAATTTGTGAAACCACTACTGTTCTTTAGCCCAACTTTCTAAGTACTGAACACTTGAAAGGGAAAAAAAGAATAAAAGATAGGGCAATGTGCTTTCTAGTGCGTGTCTGTATCCCTTCCCCAGGGCTGAATTCAGTTTTGAAGTCTGTGGAAAGCGTCCTCTTTCCGTTAACATGTGCCTGTCAAGTATGAAGTTCACAAACTCGCTCTCTGAATTTATTTGGCAGTATATTTAGTCATCTTTTCCCCTCAAAGTTCAAGTCTCAGTGCCAAAGTTTGGGAGATCCTGTCAGTAACTGCTACTAATCTATTTATTGCTTAATCATTAGCACGTGGGGCAAATGGACTGCGTAGCAGTTTTTAGAAGAGCTGTGTTTAGATACTGATGTAAATTGCTCATTCCAAACCCATTACACTAGTGATATTAGAATGCACATTAGGAAATCTACTGATTTTTGTTTTAGAAAACATCTTTGTTTTTTTGCAAACCCAGCATAGTCCTCTTAAGTGGAGAGAATAACCGGATACAGAAGAAAATGATAATCTTGAGGAATAGTTTTTAACTTTCTTCTTAAATGGAATTTAGCTCTTTCTCCCACCACTCAAAGTTCTAATGCTCAAAAGAACTAAATTAGTATGACTACTTAATATATTATAATTCTAACCCAAGAATAATTTGGACGTCAGTGAGTTACCTTTTTTACGAATTTATACTTATACTCTCGTTTATTCTTATCAGAGCCATTGGAGGACAGATTGTGATCTTCCAATGTTATAGATGGGGAAGTTTGAGTCATTAAAGTTAGGCAATTTGCCTGAAATCACACTCTAGATAGTCTTTTAGTCATGATATATATGCTTGGTTTCAATAATATGTCACTTCATAACTTCACGTCAAAGCAAGGACAAAAGAACAAATTTCAAACCAAATACAGTAATGCTGAGGGGATATAGAATGATGCAGTGGTGACGGTAAAGTGGTTTTGCTAGCGAAGTCTTCCTTAGGAGAGGAATTTGGAGAAGAGTTTTAAGCGAAGAGGCTGACGTGGATTGTCAAAAAGTGGAACGGGCACTTAGGGTGCCGAAACACTCATTGCAAAGGCAGAGACATAAGTGGACAAAGAAGCTGCCTGGAGAACTCTTCACAGCCTGAGCTTGTTTGATAAACTCAGATGCTTTAAAATAAGGAATGCACATTTGCTTTTCTGTCTTTCAAACTGATTCCCTCTAGTTTCATTCTTGTCCTTCCTAGTAAGCCACGTAAGGAAGAACACTGGTCATTTACGTCACCTACCCCTAATAACTGTATAAAGAACTTCAGCCTCTCTCTGTCTTACATGTACAGTAATACTAAAGAAACAGTAGGCGTTGGTTTGTAATTATTCAGAGGGAATTTGATTGACTGCAATGGCTAAAAAAAAAGTTTAATATAAAGTACAAATGTATATCTTGTGTTTCAGCATCACTCTTTCAAAATCAAAGGGTTAGTTTGTGAAGGATTATGGGGGGTATTACAATAGCTAAAATTATTATAACTATTATAATTATTATAGTATTATAACTGAACAGAATAAACTTTTGATCTAAAATATCATAACTTGGGTTTTTTGTTTTGTTTTGTTTTTGCTGAAGTGGGAATTCTAGGTAGCAGATGTACATCTAGGAGTTGTACCAATAGGTAGGAAACTTGGGTGTGTTCCTTAAGGCTATGAGGCCTCAATAAAAGATTGGGTGTTAATAGTATCCTATTTGAATTTGAGGGAAAAGTTTAATTATCTCTCTTAGTTCTGTAATATCATTAAGATTGCCTTTGGTTCCTCTTGATAGCCAGCTTCAAGAAAAGAAATTATTTGGGCTTCAGATAATGCTCAAAATGAAGAGAACCTGATATTCTGGGAAATTTAGACCACATAATCACCCTCTTACCTCATCCTGTAATTTCAAGTATTCTGGAAGTGACACGTGTATGTACTGTATTCAAAGTGTAGAAAAGGACTGTATTCCCACTGAGCGCTCTTGCGTATGACCAGTATGATATACAGAGAAAGCAGCAGTTTGGGGAAGAATTTAAGAAGGGAGCACAGTCTCACCCTCTTTGATAGTAACATGCCAGCTCTTGTTTTCATCTGTTCAGTACCTTGGAGTCCCAGTTTATTTCTGAAGTCAGAGTTCAAGCTTTTACTCGCGGGTAGCAGCATTTACAATTAAATTTTAATCCCTCAGTGTTGTTAGACTCCTATCTAGAGCAGCCACAACTATTCTTGGCAGGCAAATGCATTGCTGTTTTTCCTTCAGTCACAGTGAGATGGAAGAATGTTCTCTGGCTGGGTGTGGATGAAGGACTTTACTAATCTTATACATAATTCATCCTGGGTTGCTGGGGTACTCCAAGTTGAAACTTTGCCCTCTGATAAAATTCAGCTTGATTTTTTATTTACTTGACTCTGATCCCTTTGGGATTTAGCCCTTACTGGGAGCCCAGGGATTCTAATTCAACCAAGCCCTAACTGTGTAGACTTTTCTTATTAATCTGCTGTTGGTGTATTTTAGCTATTGTAATACCGCCTTGAAAAAACAAAATGAAACAAGAAAACTGCCCTAGAACATGCAGTTTACAATCTTGGATACCCTGAAAAGATCTTCTTTTAGTATTGGCTTATTGAATGGAAGTACTCCAATAGGGCTTATCTTAATTTGTTTTCAAAGCTTAGTTTTTAAAGAGCCTTAGCATTGAAAAATATGTTAACTATTATTCTGTAACATGCAATAATATGGTAATGATTATTCTGTACATACTGTTAAAAACTTACATTTGAATTCATTGTATTAAGATGTTAATACTAATGAATTTGTTCATTCATTCATTCAATGAACAGACAATTATTGGGCACCCTTATAAAGTATAAAATACAATCCCTGCTCACAGGTAACTCATAGTCTAGTGGTAGGGGCTTTGAGGCAGGCAAGAGATGTATTAGTATAAAGCAGATACTCCTACTGCCACAATGATAGCCTAGTTCATCCTTGCATATTTATTCATTTGACTAGAAGTGACTGATAAGTTATTTCATGTGTCTCACAGAGATGTAGTGACCCAAAAAGTCAAGCTAGACTCATAGAAGATTTTCCTTGTAGAAGAATTTATTTGGTTAGGATTCCTTTCAATCAAACGAGAGAGATAGAAAGCGGTCTCTTTTTTATTCTTTTTCAAATATGAGATGTGGAAGGTTTTCATCTTTACACCTAAGTAGCAAAGTTCATATTTTTGTAAACAGTGCTATTCATTATATTTATCTGAAGTTTAGAATTTATCAAAAAATGAAGCATTCCACAATTCAAAATTTAAATAAGAAGTGTCTCGCTTCAGATTCCCATAGCAGCTGCCATAAGACAAAAGCCTCTCATACATTTTCAACTTCTTCTTTTATATCCTCTCATTCCTAATAATCACTGAGTAACAAGGGCCAAGGGCCATCCTGGTTTAGAAAATGAAGCAGTGTGATGTCATTGTGAAGCAGAATGGGACAGCAAGAGTCAGGCCCAGAATTACTTGGCTCTGTGGACGTGGGAAAGAGATTGGGAAAAGCGCCCCTCGGAATTTCCCAGAGCCCACTGTTAATGTCAAAGCTGAACCTGCAAGGGCCGGCCGAGTGACTCAGTTGGTTAAGAGCTCGCTCAAGAGTTTGAGCTCTGAGCAACAGCGGTTCGAGTCCAGCCCGAGCTGAGCAGCCGCTGAGCTGCCAACAGGTAGCAGAATGGCTCAGAAAAAAAAAAAAAGCTGAACCTGCAGGCAGTCACCAGCTCTGAAAATAGGCAAGCATCGTGTTAATTTAAACAATAATAAAAGGGGGGCCAGCCGAGGGGCTCAGTTGGTTAAGAGCTCGCTCAAGAGTGTGAGCTCTGAGCAACAGGGTCCCCGGTTTGATTCATGGCCCGAGCTGAGCTGCCAACAGGTGGCAGGATGGCTCAGCGCTAATAATAATAATAATAATAATAATAATAATAATAATAATAATAAAAGGGTACTGAATGAAGGCACTGAAATAAGGCTCCTTTCCTTCTCTTCCCAGCTGAATTTTGCTGGTCAATTCTGCATCCTGGACAATCCTACCTTTTTACAGGGGAGCCATCCATAAAGGCACATTCATGTTTCTGGGTTGTAAGGAGCCCACTCTCACCTGTTCACCTGTGTTCCTGTTTATACTAGACCGTGTCTGCTAACATTAGGTCGCTAGAGAAAGACTGAGGTGAATTCTGGGCCCCTGAATTCCTATGAGGCTACCATCTACTCCCATAGGACTAGGACAAAGATAACGAACACATTTACTTGACTTTTATCTTTCAGATGGCATTGAAAGTAACCATATCTCTTGTTTGGCCTCAGGCTCCTTATTGAAAATTTTTTTTAATTGCTTTTGAGCAATAACTTTTCCCTGGTTGCTGACTTAACCAGTCATACAAGTTGAGACTCCTGTCTCTATGCCTGTTTTATAATAGCTGCTCTGGGAGAACAGATGAAAAATAATAAGTCAGTTAGATATTTTATGAGTATTGAAATCCTTTCCGTTCAGAAATGTAAATAAAATAACCAGCATGAGCAATCAGCTTATGTCAGATTCCATGGGTTTATGTTACATAGGGAAATTATAGTGCAACCTGAAACATGCTTCTTAATGAATTCATAGTTATGCCACAGTCGAATGTAAACCCTTGAGCTTTTCTGTTGTGAAGGGTTTCAGAAATCACCTTTTGTAAATTGCCTAGGAAAGGAGGAAAAAGCTAAGATGATACCAGCAAATGCTGTCACTGTTAAGTGGC